ATAATGCACAAAGCTCTATGCATAGTAAATGAACCATTTAAATGTTTCTAATTTGAGCTTTATTAAACAGAGAAGACTTCAATTAATCTCCAATATGTGTTCCTAATATATACATATGCACACACATACATACGCATACATACGCATACACATGCACACACACACCCACCCACACACACACACAACACTCAAAGGTGCTGTTCAATCATGCCCCTCACTCTAGGAGAGTGTAATTACAGGGCAAGTATAAGCAGCATGGTGCCGAGTGCAGAGGGGCACAAATGAATTAAAGACTGCTTTAGAAAAAGCAGCAGGTGAAGGTGAAGAGTTCAATAAGCTAAGGCTCCGTTCTGGCCTTCAGAAGTAACGCATAGCTCAGATAAAGCAGTCGGAGTCATTGGGGAGCCAATGATGGTGATATGTGTCCTGTTTCACACTGAGATTAAACATTAGCTCTGCCACTGAGAGCACGGCTTTCATCTAAACACAGACAGCCGCTATGCAAACACTAGTGAGAATATATGGGCTATTCAAAAGGACTTCTAAGCCTTATTTCCCAAATATGCATAACAGACTTCATAAACCTAATAGAGTTCATTTGTAAAAAATGATAAACGCAATCCTTTACAAAACGAGCTGACAGTGGTGAGTTATACTTAACATAGCGCTTTCTGAACCCTAGATTTGTTTTGTCACAATTGTTCATTGTCAAGACGTTGCAAGTTCACTTTGTACAGCAGAAATAGTCAAACACCAGCGCTGTTCTATTGCTAATTTATGAAAATTAATTAAAATGTTCAAATGTTCTGAAAATAACGACAATGATTTATTAATATCTGAACAGATCAATTTTTGTTCAATACTTTGTTGCTACATTTGATTGGTCTGAGGTTTCATGGCACTAAAATTATCTAATTTGACAGATGAGTTTATCTATTTAACAAGAATTCTACTTAAGTTTTACTAATTTTACTAAATGTAGTGCCAGTTTCAGATTTAATATACATTAAAAGGGAAATCAGATTGTAATAATGTACCAGTTGAGAAATTTGAGTTAAGTACATGTTAATAAAGAAATCAGATTGAATATATATACCAATAAAAGAAATTGGATTTAGTACATGCTGATAAAGACATAAGATTTAATACACATTGATTGAGAAATCTGATTGAATACATACTGACTGAGAACTCAGATGTAGTACATGCTGATAAAGAAATTAGATTTAGAGTAATAGATTCAGAAATAAAATGTAGTACATACTAAGAGAGAAATCTAATTTAATACAAACCGTCTAGGAAATCAGATTTAATACATACCGACTGAGAAATTTGATTTAGCACATAATAATTGAGAAATCTAAAGCTGGTTTTCCACTGCATGGTACCTGCTCAACTTGACTCGACTCTACTTGACTTTTTTGGTTTTCCATCAGGCAAAATCAGTACCCGGTACTGTTTTTGGTGTCACCTTCATCAAGGTTCCAAGCAAGCTGAGCTGATACCAAAAGGTGATGTGGCAAAACTGCAGACTACTATCACCCTAAACACACATGCTAAAGTCAACATTCGCTTTTGCATCGCCTTTGAGCAACCAGTATCGCCTCGTTGTCTGAACTCTGATGTAGCATCTCCCAAACTTTTGTCTTGCTGCCATCAGTCTCTTCTGAAAAAAAATTCACCTCACAGCAGTTCCATGTGGTGTCACTATAATGACTAACTACATTGATGAGACACTATATCTACAGTGGAAAACGAAGTAGCTGGTACCAGTAGCGGATAGACATGAATAGAGTTGAGTCGAATTGAGCCGTACCACACAGTGTAAAAGGGCCTAAATGTAGTATATGCTGAGAGAGAAATCTGATTTGGTACATACTGATGGAGAAAATAGATTCAGTGTATACTGACGGAGAAATCAATGGTGTGATCTGGTACACAAATCTAATCAGATATTTGTAGACGCTCAAAAGGCGGAGATCTAAACCCTTTAGCATTGTGATGTGACCTGAGGCCTGTAGATAAAGCAGTGGTCTAATCCACTACCAGTAGATGTTCTAAAGCAGTGATCTGATCTAAAATATATAAATGCTCTAAAGGCAACAATCCAATCTCAGTCTTGTAGATGCTTTAAAGGCAGCAGACTCTGACTGGAGAAACAGGATGAGGATGCTATCCTACCTCATTTATCAAATGTAATCTGTTAGCAGTCCCCAACATAAATCATGCCACTGGCCCACTTTGCTGTGTGGCTGACACTTAGAGAGAGAAAGCACAGCAAAGGAATAAGCAAGAGAAAAGCAGAGGGAAAAGTGATAAAGAGAGAGTGAGAGAGAGCGAGCGAGAGACATAGAGAGCATCTGTGTGAAGTGCCCCGTGTGTTTGTGTGTTCATGTCTGCACTGATGAATGTGTGCTGGTTTGATGCAGCATGCCTTGCTATTTTATTTTGCCTTGACATGTATAGAAATAAGTCAACATCATTAGACTAAACAAAAATCCATTTTCCAGCATTTGGCTACAGTGTGGATGCAAAACCAAATCACACATTATATGCATCTTGCTCACAGATGCAGGGCTACAGCATCATACTTTAGATGCAAATCCGATTCCAACGCACAAACCAAAGCTGGGCCTATAACTCTGAGAGCATGCCTGCTTACTTAACTATTAGAATCAAAATAAGATGGTAGCTTCAAAAGCAGGTGTTGTTGTGCATACACACGGGGACATAGAAGTAACATGTGAAAACACCAAATTTTACATTCTCTCCATACTTATTTTGAAAAAGTGTTATTTGTCATTGAAGAGTTCATGTACGACTACATGCTTTATCGTTCATACTGGGCAATACATAGAAATGTTTAAGAATAGTTTGGATAGTTCCTTAAATCAGTACTTAATACTCTTTGGACTGACAAGCTTACAGTATAAGAAAGCCCAAATCATTGTGCTTTTAATTATTGTTGTGTGAAGAATGCTATAGGAAGTTGATCAACTATGTCTGCAAACATCCAGAAGGGGCAGCCCTTGCTGGTTTTCATACAAAATAAAACAGCATAGATGAAACACTACGCTTGAGTTTTACATATTTCATTCCCCTCTATTCAGTGGTGCAACACTATTTTTCAATTAAATCACCCAAACTAGCCTTTATGTTTAAGAAAATCTTTGTTCCTTTAAATAATTCAGTGATTAAAGCTTATTGGGTCTAGAAGGCTAGAGCTAGATGCTGTTCCACTGGTACAAACTATCTCGCCTCTGCCACACTCTCAATCATTCAATTTGAGCCAAACTAGGTGCATTTTTACATTTGTAAATAGATCGAGAACTTTATTATTGCCAAAACAGAGTGAATACAACACAAAAATTGAGCACTAGGATGCAAACTTTAGCTTGCCACAGCCAGGCGGCATGGGAGAATTTCATGATAGCGGATATGCTGCTATTCAAATGTACATGTGCAATTATAGATTTGATTATGCCACAAATTACATATATTTTCAATTTAGATGCTGTATTGACAGTTCAAGTCTGAATGATCATTCACATTTACCATTATTGCAATATGAGCTGAAAGCTGTGCAGTTTTAAAGTGACATAATTAGATTGGCGATTTGTAGCATTAGAAGGCCAAAGCATGCTTCCATGTGTTGGGGTTGAATGCTGAATTCCCAAATGGAGAGCAAGTAACTTAATTACTGGCTAATAGCCAGTTACAAAGCACACGCATGTGCAGCTCAAAAACGCATAGACTGGGTGGTAAAATATAGGAAGCAGTAAAAGCTGCTGTCACAACGAATATGCATCATCATAAGGAGATGATTAAGGAATAAACTATATATGTATTCTTTTTATAGGCCTAGTCAGACTGCAAACATGAATAGAAAAAGCTGATGGTTTTTAGATTAAGGCACCTCATGGAACACATTTTGCTGGCTACAAATTCTCCATAATGGGCTGCCAATAGAAGTAATAAATAAATAAATAAATAAATATTTTTGTTTTTGTTTTGTTTTGCATCAGAACGTTGTAGCTTTAGAGTGTACAAATGTACTGACAGTTCTGATGTAAGTACACTCTTAAAAAAGAGGGTTCTTCAACGGTTCTTTAGTAAAGATAATAGGTCTATATAGAAACATGAACACTCAAAGAACGTTTGCATGATTAAATGGTTCTTTGCACAGTGAAATGGCTCTTCAGATTGATGGAGAATGTGCTGCACATGATTCTATTTAGAACCTTTTAAAAATGGGCCATATAGAACCATATGCAACACATTCTCCATCAATTTGAAGAACCATTTGACCATACAAAGAACCATTTATTTATGCAAATGGTCTTTGAGTGTTCATGTTTATATATAGAACCATTGTCTTTACTAAAGAACCATCGTTTTTAAGAGTGCAGCTATTAGTATTTCTTTATTTTATTCTGCACAATAGTGAATAGAGCTTTTGGAATTTAGCATTCTTTTTCTATCGTCTTGAAAGAGAGGTTGGTTAGGTTTCTATATTACATAGCCACAACAAACAAATCTGTATTTGCAGCACATCAAGGCAGAGAATTGCTTTTTTAATAATAGTTTATTGCTTATCATATCACCACCATAAAATCCAAACAGCTTTACTCAACACTGCATTTAATGTCCGTATCATGCACTATTCACTACTAAAATGACAAAACCGTGGCAAAAATGTTTTGCTTTCTTTATCATCCAACTCAAATCATAATAAAATATCTCCTCTAGCAGTCCTTTTGTTATCACCAGTGAGAACTGAGATTTCTAAGGATTAACTATACCACCACATTTGTATGTAGAAAGGCTGTTTGTGTAAGTGATATTCCAAACTGGCCAAGGTTGCCATGGTGCCTTAAGCACAGCTCATACACATCAAAGCTCAAAACCACAAACACCAAAGACATTAGGTCAAAGGTCAGTAGGATTCCTGCTCTCCCAGTGTTTTCAGGTCAATGTTCAGCTGCGCCCTGCCCACTCACCTTTCTTGTCCCCGAAGAAGAGGGTCTGCTGTGCTGGGTTTGACCACTGGAGGGAGGTGTTGTCATTATGATCCACGCGACAGGTCATGTTGGCTGTCCCTCCCTCTGTCACCGTAAGGTTCTGGACAATAGGGAACTGGCCTTGGGCCCCTTGGAGACAATCATAGAGAGACAAAACAGGCTCAGTTATGATCAGGTGAGCACACAAAAAGGGCCTTACTTCACACAAGAGCTTTTATTCTATTGATAAGTGCTCAGTCAGAAGTCTACTCGACTCCATGTGTGACCCATGAGAGGGGGCTTGAGCTCTGCATCAGTAATGAGATGAGAGTAGAGAGTCTGAGTAGAGGACAGCAGGCGGTGGGTTTTCATGGTCACCATCCTACGCAACTAGAAATGACTGGATTAACTTGAAAAGAACTGACTTTGTGAATTGTTTAGGTTTCTGAACTTATGAACACAGCAAAGTCACACAGGAAAGTGAATTCTTCAACTGTCACTTGGTTTGATGGACTGAATGTCAAAGGATTGCCTTGCTTGTAGAAAAAGGATCTGGTTCTTTGGAAAATGGTTCTAACTGGAGCTTCTTCAGACATGAGCTCCGGTGTTCAGTGTTAAACATTCATACCACAGTTCAGGAGCAGTTCAGTGGATAAAGATTCAACATCAGCAGCTGAGCAACATGGCCGAAAATCATATCATGATATATTTTTTAGACCGACGTTAATAATTACAGATAATTATTATATGTATGTCCTAATGCTCAACTGCAATGCTCAATACTACTTTGAACTCTTAAATAATGAAACATCTAAAAGCATCTGATTTAGGAAAACTAAACCACTTCCACTTTGCAGAGGATGTGAGGCCTCTTCCTCACTCAATCCTCTCTTGATCTTTCCTCAAACTTACAGCCTTTACATAATTTAACCCCTTACCAAGGCCAAGGTTTTATTACACACCTCTATATCTTAGAAACAGCTCCATTAGTTTGCATTGAAGTCCCTGTAGGTACTGAATAATAAGCCTCTGTATGTAATAAGCCTGGAATGTTAAGGGGTTAATATTGGTAGCTCTTCTAACTGGTATGCTGATTTATGATCTGATGAGTGAATGGCTAGACTTCTTCTCCAAAAGTTCAAGTCTTTACTACTAACACCAGTTTGAGGAAAAGAACGGTGTAACAATTTTGTGCAAAAGACCTCAAGCACATATGACTGATATTAAAAAAAGCCTTTCAACTGTTATTCATAATTTTATGGTCCAAGCTTAGAGGAACACTCATCAGCAGTGCTGACTCAGTATCACTGCCACCTCTAAGTGATTCTGACAACATCTCATCAGTTTCTTTCCCTGGTAACAGAAAAACCCTCCTCAGTTGGCTATTGGCTCCATAATTGGAACCATGCTAAGTGTGTATCTATTTTGGTTAGCATTTGTTTCTGATAGCACAGCACCCTGAAAGCAGCATGGTTGTGTGTGGGGAAGTGACTGCCTCCGAAGTGCCCTTGAGCGAGGCAGTTGGGCTGATATACAGTATTTTAGCAGAGGAAACCCAGCACATTGAGCAGCCAGCTGCAAGTGTCCACTAAGCGACTAAATAATGATAGAAACAATCCATCAGGGCCAGTCCCTGGGACACAGAGTGTCAGGCCTTAAAGAGAGAAGTGAGTAAAGCTTTAGCACGGTCAGAAATTATTCACAAACCGCCATCCTCCTCGGCACCCCGGGGTTGGACAACCCAATAATAAATGACCTTGTGCTGGGGCGGAATGCAGAGAGGAGAGATAATGAAAACGTGTGCATACATAAAGGAGACCCTGGAGAATAAGTGATAGATGAATAATCCATGTGTATTTACAGTGTGGCAATGATGCGTCTCATACCTCGGGTCAACATCACCGCTGCAGACGCTGCCTAACAAGCAGACGGGATGGATGATAAATATCATTGAGGGAGTTGATGGGTAGAGGACAAGACAGTAAGAGAAAGAGAGAGCGAGAGGGAGAGAGAGAGAGAGAGAGAGAGAGAGATGCTAACATACACTCATGCACTTATGCCGACAACAAAAGACAGCAACAGCAAAGATGCTGACCATTTCACCTTTTAACTTGTACACATTCGCAGATCAAACATTTGCATCAGCTTGATTCTGGATATACAAGCTATCATGAATATGCTGGCAATGAGGCTCAACAGCAACAATGATAAACTGCAAATGAATTTTGCGATATCCACTTAGATATTTAAAAGCCAGCAATGGGTCTTTGGTAAACACTTCTGATTGGCTGGCATTATGACAATGTACACTATGCTTTCTGAACAGTTCTATATGTTAGGGCAGCTACAGGCTGATGAGCCAACACTGTGAAAAAATCAAATAGTTGGGTCAACTAAAAAAACTTTAAGGCTACTTGCTGCACAGTTATCTCAACTTAGTTTAGTCAAAATTACTCCCAACACACATTTGAGTACTAATCGTAATTAAGTCAAAAATACAGTTGAGGGCTCTCAAGTAGCACAACTATCAAGTGTTGGCTCTATCGTTGGGAGGTCGTTCAATCCATGGTGATGCTCCACCCATCTGTAGCTAGGAGTCCAAGAGAGCATTGTTGGCCTTACTCTCTGGATGGGTAGGATGGCCCTCCCTATCTCCATCACTCACTGTGATGCTAGCTAACGTGGACATCTGTTAGCTAATACACAGTAGTACACAGTAACAGTTAGCGCTCTACTCCAAGCATCGCAAAGACGTGCCATCATCCTCCCAGCTTGGTAGCATTGCGTGATTGACGGAGGCCTAGCTAGCTAATGGAATTGCCCATTTTTAGTAAATTAAATGAAAATAAAAAATTATAGACAATTATATACAATAATAGTAGATAGTAACAGTTTTACTCAGTTCCCGACTTTGCCCCAAATTGGTCATTGCTAATTCACACCTGCAGGCTACAACTCCCTAAGTCATAGTGCTGTGGCATTACTGGAATCTTTTGATGAGTGGGCAGTATTATAGTTGTGCCAGTCAGGATTCATGAAATTGAACTAAAATCACAACATTATCTTTATCTGAATACAGACAATGCTCTCTGTCTGAGCATGAGGAACCTTTCATTCTTTCTTGGATGCAAAATTTTGACAAACTTGGCAGATCCAGAGTTGCACAGCTGTCTAATTGCTCAGCCATCAGAGATCATGAGCTTGTGGCAACACCACAGTCCTCCATTATAGTAGTCTGAGAAAAGGAAGCACTCAGCCCTCATCCTCCAGCTTCAGAGTAGCATGCATTAGGGATATCCTAGCCTGAAATAACTGAACAAAAGGAGGGCAGAAACTGAGATGAAATCCATGAAAAAAATGCAATGCAGTACTGAAAATGTGGTTTGGTGAAGTTTTGAATAAACTAAGTTAAAGTAACTCAAAAAAGTTGTGCAGCAAGTTGCCCTTAAATTTTTCCTGACTTTTTCCCAGTGAATGCCTGTTCTGAAATCAATATGTCAGCCTAGCTCTCATGTGGATCTGAGCTTGATACACCAGGGCTGTCTATCATCAGTCCTGCAGGACTTCCAGGAGTCCTTATTTTACCGTTACAAAGGTTGCAGGTCACAAAAAGTCCACACAAGTTGTGTCCATCCCAGTAGTAAAGGGAAACGTACTAAACGAACTTCAGTGCTAGTAGTGCCCTACATTTTGCAAAGGCCAATCATACAGATGAGGTCATTTTCCCGCATGTCTAGCCAGATTCTTCTCAAAGAATCCATTTCAGCAAGTCAAGAAAAGAAAGATCTTCTTTTGAAACACATTTTTGTTGCCATGAGAGTGATGGTAAGTTTACAATATTTAGACTGGCAAAGCCACCACAAACCTTTCTAAAGTGTCGATTTCACATCAAAATGAATGTTTGCCCTATGACTTTTTTTTAACAAGTGTAAATAAGGCTTTATGAATGGCTTGCCTTGATTCCGGCCCTTATGGCTTCTGCAATGACATCTGGCTCCAAAGCAATTTCACAGTGTAACTGAGTGCTGTTGAAGCCGATTGGGTTAGGGCACTGTGCCTATGCCGAAAAAGTCTGCACTATGCTCCAGCATCCATCTGTCATGTTTTGTGTCATGTCATTGCAGTTTTCTGATTTGGTGGAAGGAAATAACAAACTTCCGTGTTAAATGACCTCTTTTTTCCCATCTTAAAGGGCCTATATCTTACATTTTTCCTGTAGGTTTCTTGTGTGTTTCTCCCAAATTCTGCTTATAACATTTATGTGGTCATACTTTATTTTTACATGACCTTTTCCCAACATCTCTCTATCCTTTATAATTAAAAAGGCTGGTGTTACTTTTCTCTTAAGACCGACATACACACTATGTCCAAAAGAATTCAGATGCTCCTAATTAGTGAATTCAGCTACTTTAAGACGCCCTTTGCTGAAACAGGTGTCTGACTGCAGGCTCACCATTTAAATAATCTCAACAGAAAAGTTGCCAATAGAATGGGATGCTGTGGAGCAGCCACACATGAGCCTAAGGTCACCACACACAATGCCAAGCATGAGCTAGAGGGGTTACAAAGCCCCCCAGCATTGGGATGTGGAGCAATGGAACTGCATTGGAGTGGCATTTATGATCCAGGACTAATCATCCAACCTCACTAATGCTCTTGTGGCTGAATACTATCAAATCCTCACAGGATTTCCAACATCTAGAATAAAACCTTTCCAAAGGAGTAGAGGCTGTTGGTGCAGTTAGCGCAGTGGAATAAACACCATATTAATACCCTTGATTTCAAGAGGAGACATTGGCTGAGCAGGGGTCTACAAACTTTTGGACACAAAGTGTACACAAAATGACCTCTGTTCTGATTGGCTGCTCTGTATTGTGCACTTTTTATAACTTAAATGTGAATTGGCCAGGCAAAATATATATAAATGATATCACAATTACTAACTCTAAATGGGCTGTTTTCCATTTATGGTCCATGAACTTCAACAGTGTTCACATAATACATTAGCGGTTTTCAATCTTGGTCCTGCAGTTCTTGCACATTTTAGAACTTTAGAACACACTTAATCCAGCTAATGAACTTATTAACAAGCCTTTCCTGAAGAACACTGGGGGGTGTTAGAGCAGGGAAAACACTACAACATGTAGTGC